ATTTAATTACTAAAGACAATATTAGTCCCCCCACAAAAGTACGGGAGAGCTGATTTAGTTGCTTATGTTTTGAATGTGGTTCAAGATGTTGAGTCTAGCAAAAAACTGATAGGTGATTATTGAGTTATTTTGTGATTTTGTTTCTCATGGTAATAACTTGAGCAACTTTGGTAATCGAGCTAATTCTGTTGAGTAATGCTTAGATTTAGTTGACGTACAGTGATTGAGTTTATCCTAGTTTAATTTGGTGGAAGAATTGGAGAATTTGTTTGATGTTCATGTTGAAAAGATCAATTTTATTCCTTGAAGTAAAATTCATCTCTAGGTGGAGAGTTTTGAAGTCTTGTTTATTGTGTTGGAATTTGTGTCAAAGAAGAGGTCAAAATATGGATTATGAAGTGATTTAGTTGCATTTTTGTTAGCTGTGCGCCAAGCACCCACTTGAGTGCACATAATAATGAGCTGGTGCCAGCCCTCGCTAGGGCAGTGCTCGAACGAGCAGTGCATCTAGCCCATGATTCGTTTTGCATTTTTGACATAATTTTTGATGCTCTTACTATTATTAGGATATTGACATATATCATATATATAGTTGGTTCTTCATTACAAATTAGACAAAGTTAGACAATATTGCAAATAAAATATCTTTTTATTCTTTCTCCCATATTATAGTGAATTCTCTTTCTCGCTGCCAAATTTCTTGTATTCTTCTAGTTTTGTGATCTTTACTTCACTTTTACTATATAATCTTGCTCTTAAAACCAACAATCTATACGAAAGAAAAGGCTAGCTATTAAAATTAAAAGCTTTGAGAGCATCTATGTTCAATTGCTTACATATATGGTGCTTTAATATAATATATGTTTTAAGTCAAACATTATGTGAGATCCACTATTCACACTATAATCTCATTATAAGAAGCTTAATGAAATCTGTTAGAATTAGGATGTGACCTAAATTCTACTTTGAAAATGATTGAAAATTCTAATTAAGGTTAACATTGAGAGAAATTCAATTTGTTGGAATGCTTTTGAAATTCTATTCAAACTCTATTTATCAAATTCTATGTGAAGTTCTATTTGAAAACCTAATTGAGAATTGAAATTTGTGTTAGACTTGAAGAGATCAAGATATGGACCAGTGACGACTTTGCATTGCAATTATGCTTGCCTGGCGCTTGACTAGAGCTCAGCATCAAAACGACGCTCGCCTAGAGCTTGAACACCATATTCATCTGGCATAGGTCTACTTTTAGGGCTTGAAATATCATCTATATATATTTAGCTCTTCATTGTATTTTAAATTAAGTTAGACAATCAAAATACAAAATCATCATGTCTCTTTCTCCATATTTTATTGCAGAATCCATTCCTCTACCAATTATTTTGTTCTTGAGTTTATGATCAATTACTTCATATTATGTTATATTATTTTCTCAGCTATTATCCCAACAAATTGGTATCAGAGTTTTCTGATATTTTCTTCGTTGTTTATAACAAATTGGTGTCAAGGTAAGGCTTAATTTATTGGAAGACTTATTGATTTTGGGATGACAGCCATGAAGTATGATATTTTGCTTAGATCATTGCACAAGATTTTCTTTATAATAGGTAAGGATTTGAACAATACTCGCTCAAATGGATTTGGACGATCATTGTTGAGATTTGATAAGATGCCCACAACTTGGAATCAGGAAGAGAAATAGTGTAGGGATCGAAAGGCCTTATTACATATTCATCTTCATCTTTCAAATAACATTCTTCAGGATGTTATAAAGGAGAAGGCCGCTGCATTACGGTAAAGATTGGAGCAATTGTGCATGATTAAGAGTTTTACTAGCAAATTGCAATTGAAGTAACGCATTTATTGTCAACGTATGGTAGAAGGTACTATTCTTGAAGATCATCTAACCGTGTTTAAGAAAATCATCACTAATCTTGAAATCTTGGAGGTTAATTATGATGAAGAAAATTTGAGTTTAATTTTATTGTGTTCGTTATCCACTTCATATACGTCGTTTAGAGACATGATCCTATATATTTGTAATACTCTCATCATTAAAAATGTTTATGATACCCTATATTCAAACGAGGAGATCTCGTTTGAACTAAGCATTATGGAGATGACCTTATTGCTGATTGTGGTTTTAGAAGGGACAAATTAAGGTCTAACTTCAGAAATAAAATTTGTCATTATTGCAGAAGCAAGGGGCACTTGGTTAAGGATTGCTATAAGTTGTAGAATAAAGAAAAATTGACTACATCTAATCGGAAGAGAAAACAATTAGATAATTCGGGTGAAGCTAGTGTTAGAGAAACGTTTCACTACGATGGAAATCTTTTGGAGATTTCTGATGGCGATTCCAAACTTGAAGAGAATTGGATTCTAGATACGGCTTGCAGTTTTCATATGTGTCCCAATCGAAATTCATTTACAAATATGAAGAGGTTTCTAAAGGTGTTATATTTGGTAATAATACACCTTGTCGGATAGCTGGTATATAGAAAGGGTTAGAATTAAGTTGATTGATGGAATGATCTAACACTTGATGCAGTACAACATGTTCCTGATTTAAAGAAAAATATTATATTTTTTAGTACTTTTGACTTGAAATGGTATAAATTCATTGGTGAAGGTAGAGTCCTACAGATTTGTGGAGATGCTAATATTATATTGAACGGATGAAAAAAGTCCTAATTATATGTCTTGCAAGGTTCTATAGAATCTTTAATGGATCAGCATAATTTAAGGACTCGGGCGGATTGTGAGTTTGGTTCAATACTATCACAATTATATTTGGGGTCTACTTTGATGAATATGTTTAAATCAAGTTCGAAAGTTATGGATAATTCCATTTTGCCATCATTATCAGCGATGTTGTTGTATTCAATTTCTAGAAATAGACCCGTTTTTAAGAATATGCCTCCACATATGTACAAAGATGCTGATTTAGATGGAGAAGTTCATTTGTACTTTTTTGTTGAAGAGTTATAGTTCATTCCTTGTAGTGGAGTTTGTCTCTATGTAGATAATCTTTGAAATTCATTCATTGTAGTGGAATTTGTGTTAATGTGAAGTTTGTTAAAATTAGGATGCTACCCGAATTCTATTTTGAAGATGATTAAAAATTCTAATGAAGGCCGATTTAAGATAAATTCTATTTCTTGAAATATTTTTGGAATCCTATTTGAAGTTTATTTGAGAAATTCTAATTGAAGTTCTATTTGGAAGCCTAATTGAAAATTGAAAATTGAAAATTGTGTTAAATTTGAATAGATCGAGATATGAACTAGGGAGGTCTTTTCAACTCAATTATCTCGCGTGACGCTCAAGCTCTAGTTGAGTGTCCAAAGAGGTTAAGTTGAAGCCCGTCTAGTGCTTGAGCGTCTAGCAGCTCTAGCCGATGCCCGCATGGTGCTCGAGTGTCATATTCATCCAGCCCAGGCCCCTTTTTCGTGTTTTGAGCATTCATTTCCATCTATAATTCTATTTTTAAGGTTCGAAACATTCCCTATGTATATTTAACTATTCGTTATATTTTAGATTAAGTTAGACAAATCAAAACATAAAACTGTCGCAATTCTTTCTCCATATTTTATTGAAAACTCCATTCATCTGTTAATTATTTTGTTTGAATTTGTGATCAATTACTTTATATTGTATCATATTATTTGATTACCTATTATCCCAACAAATTGGTATTGGAGTTATCCGATATTTTCTTCGTTGTTTATAATAAAATCCAATTGCAACTAGCTTCTTCTTCTTCTTCTTATTAAATTTTGGGGCACGCCAGGTGCTTGCAGTAGTGTAATGAAAAACATTCAAAATGATACGCAGCTTGACCAAGATAAATAAAGAAAAATCAAAGGCTTCCCCTCTTCTAGTGATCGAATGTTGAGGAAGAGAAGCCGATTCTCTCTCCAGTCTCCGGTAGTCAGTAACTGTTGCATTGACTAACCTTTAAGAAGAAACTGAACACTACCTTTGGAAGTGGAATGGCTAGAGTTTTGTGTAAGGGTCCTAGAGTGACTAATGTGGTCATGAAATGAAATTATGCAACAAAAATAGATGAGACGAATCGAAATAGATTGAACAATTAACATAAAACAATATGTAGTTTTAGGATTAACACATACAATTATACATTTGCTCTCAGGCATTCTTTATTAGTGAAGATCGAATTATCCAAACATTGTTTCTACATTGAAGAAATGATGTTGTTAATCAGATCTAAAGCTATATATATATATATATATATATATATATTAAACTTATTATACTTAAATAGCCTTTTCAACTTCTCAAATACACAACGAGATGAAAATTAAAGACTATTAATGTAGAATGGAAATCTCAGAGTAGTAATGTTACAATAAAGGTCCAACTTCATGTCCCTGTTCATTTTAAATAAACTTAAGTCGCAATCCACTTTAATTCCCTATTTCTCCGGTGATTTTACTTTCAAAAAAAAAAAAAGTGCATTCTTGAGATTACGAATGTGAAAATGTCTTATCAATTATATATTTAAGCAAAAGGAGAAATACCAAGAACCTGCATAAAAAAATAAAAGAAATCCCAAGTCCAAGCTCATGCTTCCTAGAATTATATGGACGTTAGACATTTTCCTGAGGGAACTCAGAAAATCTGACTTTCCACACGGACAGGCACGTTCAGGTGGCGATGTATCGATTCAATCCGAGCTCTCTTAAGTTCTATCCTATTTACTGATATCGATCATTGATTTTTTTGTGTCATTTCATGATCTAAACGAGTCGCACATACACCCTCACAGACCCCAGCCTATAGCGCCCGTGGCCCTGTAGCAGGGCTCCAGAAAATCTCAGTTTGTGTCTAAATTCCAAGCTCCCATGACCGTATGATCAGAAACGTCTTTGAAGGACCCACAAGCATGTGAATTTTGAAAAGAAATTTGCAAATACGACAATGAGATCTTTTTGTTTGCAAAGACCAACCTCAGTACAAATATTAGCTGCATGAGAGAACAGCCAAAGTTAGAGCGCCCATCACCTCACCTTCCATCCCTAACTTAGCAAAAAATGGCTTATTCGGCTAATCATTCGGTCTCTCCAACATATTTTTCCACGTATCTTCTCTATTACTCAGATGTAGACTGCCTATCTGTAATTTTTTTATTTTTGTTTCAACTCTGAAGCTGCCAGCCATAATTTCCTTCTCTTCTCACAGAAGTGATCCAGAATTAAACTTTCTTTTCTCTTTTTATCAGAATGGAGCAAGCAAGGTATTGGATGTGGGGAAAGAGAAAAAACGATTTGAATTCACGTGGTTTTGCATCATACGGAGATTCTTGGGAAGAACAAGCCTTTGCAGAAGATGCAGCTAGAGCTCTTGGAGGGTGTACATGGCCTCCAAGATCTTATTCTTGCAGTTTCTGTAGAAGAGAGTTTAGGTCGGCTCAAGCCTTAGGGGGTCATATGAATGTTCACAGAAGGGATAGAGCCAGATTGAAGCAGTCTTCAATTCCACAAACTGAAGATCTTCCTCATAATCATTTTGGTCTTCAATTTCCATCTCAAATATGTACCTTGCTGTACAACCCTAATCCTGATTTTTCTGATCCTGAAGTTTTAGCTTCGCCTTCGTCACATATTAGGGTTTCAGCTCCATCTAGGAAGGCGAATTCTGATGAAGCGATACCCGTCCTTCGTTTCTTTTCTAAAAGATTAGAAGACTATCAGAAGAATATCGTTTCGTCCCCTCCTGCATCCTGGTCTAGCTTTATAGCAGAGAAGGATACTCGTGTTTTGGATTTGTACAATGAAGAGAGAAAATCTAAGGCTTCGGAGCCAGATATTAAGGCTAAAGAAGATTGTGCCATGGATGATTTGGATACAAATCGACGTCAAACGAATGAATCCAGTAGTGATGAGGAACTTGCAGGTTGCAAGAGAAGGAGAATCGATTTGAGGCCGTTAACGTTTTTACAAAAATCAAGTGCTGTTGAGAGATGTCATCCCCAGTTGGAAGTTCTTAAAGTACGTTCTAGCACCATAGAGGAATTGGATCTGGAACTTAGGCTTGGTGAGGCACCAAAGTTGAAGTAAACTGCAAAATGGTAATCCCAACATGAATATGCAGACTGTTTTTTTATCTGTTCATTTCTGCTGAGAGTTTATCTGCCTTGATTTCTCCTTGACTTTGATGATTTGGGACCAGCTCTTCTTCCTTGAACATGATACAATTTTACTTTCTCCCTTCCAAGTGCAGTGTGTAATAGTTAATTTTATACAGTTTGATAATCTCATACACATTAAAGAACGCTTCAACTTGAGAATAAATGATTGTTCTTCGTCAAAATATGGATAGACAGTTGAATTCCGGTAATTACTATTTTTCTCAGCCGAAATAAGGGCTACATCTGTTAACTCTCGTGCAAGTGCAGTTCACATTGTTTAAGGCAATAGATTATTGAAGGAAGAACATTTGGGTTAGGAGCCTAATTAAACCTATCTTAGGTTTAAGGCTGTCTTTGAAGTCTACTTAAACCTATTCGCATCTAATTAAGTGCCTGTTTGCCACGGTTTAAAAAGTTGGTGAAAAGTTGAGGTCAAGTCAATAATTAATTTTAACCATACATTTCATTAGACTCATAACTTTTATCAAGTTTTCAACCACACTTCTAATTTATTTTTATTGAAATCTGCTAAATTTTTTTATCAAAAGCTTTGTCAAAAACCCCTTAAAAATCTTATTTCATTTGAGAATTGTAGGTTAAGGACCGTTCTTTTCTGTTTTCTTTTCTCAATAAGTTGAGAGGATTGTGACACACACAAACACACGCAGAGGCAGTGTGATGTTCAGAGTCTAAAATTGGAATAATGACAAGATCAGCCAATTTGGGGCTTATAGTATGAAGAAACTGACTAAAAACTGGGCAACTTTTCACATAGATCAGTACTTTACTAATATTATTGTTCATTTAAACTAATTATCAATTCTATTAAAAAAGCACAGTTCAGTTTTCAAGAACACACAAGTCAGATACAACATCATACTGATTCCCTTTTCCTTTGTACTGTAATCATCGTCGTCAGATCTACTGTAATAAATATATAGTGCATAAATCCATACATTTGAGTTCTGGTCTTTTTCTTTTCTCTCTTTCTGAATCCTTCCAAAATTGCCACCAACTACAAGGAATCAATTCATTTAAGTATCATACACATAACATTTTCTATTCACGAAGAGAATAATATTATTGCATCGCTGCATGATTGTAGGTGTAAAAAAACGCATCTTTTGTTTTGTTCCTCTATGAGCATTTTAATTCTATTTAATTTACCTTCTCAGCATGACAATTGATACAGAATATATGGTGAATGCTGGATAAGAATTAAAGAATAATCAGTAACATTCATCAAACCGTAAACCTACCTGTAACGTAATAGCTAATTAATAACAGTCCTTGTTTATTACTCTCAACATACTGAGATTAATTCCCTAAACAAGCTTGCTGTAAACATGTGAGTTCACTAATGCTTTGTTTTGTTATGTAGACTCTGGATTGTTGAACAATATTAAGCCGTCATTTTTAGTAACTTATTAGTTATTTTTACTATCAAGTTAAAATCAAACTTTAATTTTAATTACATATTATAACTACTATTCATTATTATTCACATATTTCATAATCTCCACCAATATTCATCCTAAATAATTCCTAATAAATCTTTCCTGAACATAGGCTAAGTTAAAATCTTATCTATTTTACGGTCAAGTTTAGTCAAATATTGTATAGCTAGCATGTTCTTAGGTCTTACGCGATAAACTTAGTTCTTGTTTGATGAAGTTTTTGCTTGCTAAAAAATGGGTCTAACTCATTTTTTCACTAGATCAATACCTAGGAGAACTCATTGAAAACTACAAATTGAGTTGAGGGGTCAATTTATTTTCTCCTATAGTTTTTTTCCTTTTAAAAATATGGGTATTTTGAAAAAAAAAAAATCTCTACCACAAACACATTTTCTGAGAACTGATTCTGGTGATTTCATGCTAAAGACGTTTATTCTTTCTATCAACTACTGTGAGTTTCTTAGTCTGCTTTAAACTTGGATAATCAAAGTATTTTATTTTTTCCTTTTAATTCCACAGAGATTGCATTTTTAGATTCAACATTTAGAAAAATAATTGCAAAAAAATATAATGAATCGAGTTTGGACAACGTGAATGTCGAACTAGACTAGGAAAACTATAATCGAAAAAAAAAAAAAAAAAATCTCTACCACAAACACATTTTCTGAGAACTGATTCTGGTGATTTCATGCTAAAGACGTTTATTCTTTCTATCAACTACTGTGAGTTTCTTAGTCTGCTTTAAACTTGGATAATCAAAGTATTTTATTTTTTCCTTTTAATTCCACAGAGATTGCATTTTTAGATTCAACATTTAGAAAAATAATTGCAAAAAAATATAATGAATCGAGTTTGGACAACGTGAATGTCGAACTAGACTAGGAAAACTATAATCGTGGGAAATTTAAATGAAAATAATATATAATTTGTTGGAGAATTTTTAAAAGAACATTATTTTGGACATTAAGAATTGAATAAAAGGGAGATATTACCAGGAAGAAGAATATCATGTTATGAAGGGGATAAAAAGGTAATATACACACAAGGCCGGCCTTGAGAATTTAGAAGCCTTAGGCGTGTAGTTATTATAAGGCCCTTCAACATAATATTTATTTTACAAGTTCAATAATATGTTAATATTTAAATAATTAATACTTTTATATTCAAAAGAAAACTTTATACAATTCAAGAGATAGAATAACAAAATAAAACTTCTCTTACAATCGAGAGATAAAGCTAGCATAAGATTTAACTTTCTCACATTTTGTGATGTAAAATTAGTAATCAACCTACTGAAATCAAGTTTTTTCAACATATTTTTTTCAATAGAAATCATAGCTAATCCATTGAATCGCTCTTGTGACATGGTTGATCGAAGATGAGATCGAATCAACCGCTACCTATCTCAGCCATGAGTACTAATCAAAATCAGTTTTGCTAATCTAGTTCTATCCCGTTATAGATTGTAACATCTTATGTTTAAACTTAAAAAATTGAACACTCACAACTCATGAATTTAGGAGTAAATTGGGCGGTTTAGATTGAGTTTCTAGTTACTAAATCAAACCAGTTTCGATTGAAAGTTATAAAACTGAAAATATTTTATTTGGGAGAGAGAACTGAACTGGTTGGGTTCCTTCATAATTCATAGATTAAAATATATTATTGTATAAATTTTTCTTTTATAAAATCACACTTTTCTATTTGAAGGGACAAAAATATTGATTCTTTTGAATACATACATATAAATTATTGGCTAAGTTTATAAAAAATAATTTTAGAACTAAATCAAAATTAAATTCTATAACTACAACCAAGAATAAGAATTAAAAATATCACGGACACAAAAAGTATGTACATACAAATGAAGAACAAAAAAAATAATCTTATTAATCCTCTATGTCCTGTATAATCAATATAAGTTAAACAAATAACAAATACTCTCATAGCCCAAAAAGTGAAACTGTAAAAGAAGAAAACAAATAACCAATCCTCGGTAAGAATGGATCTAAACATCAGCACATGACTAATAGTAATAAACAATCTAGTTCTTGTCTTCTTGATAAAGCCATTAGAGACAAAACCAATGAAGAATGCACAATCGTGGCCCCTGAAAAGGAAAACCTAAAACCACAGATCCCTTGTCCACAAGCAAGTGCAAGTCTACTGTGTGCAACGTCGAAGAAGATGAAGAGGCAGGCCGAACCTTTAGTTAGGTAATCGTCAATCGGATGATTTCTAGCAGGAAGTTTTGCCAGTAGGTTTTACTTTTCAGGATTGGTACCGTATTTTTCCTTGAATTTCTTCAAGTTTATCACGATTCTCGTGGCGTCATACTGGAATTGGAGAAATGGACGGTTTGTTCTCCATTTATCTACCGAACTTTGTATTTTTTTCAAGGGATTTGAGTGGCTTTAGGCTCGGCAGGTTTTTGGGGGTTTTTTTTTTTTTTTTTTTGGAGGCTCCTTCAAATTTTGAGACCCAAGGTGGTGGCCTTGTTTGCCTTGGGCCAGGACCGGCTCTGTATATACAAATACAAATACATTTTGACATGGCAGATGCTCACGCCAGCATTCTATTTCATCAACGTGTTGGTTCATGGTTAATTGTTTGTTTTAGACATGGTTTTGCTCTGATTTGTTTGAATATTTACGATTGTTTTATGTGGTTTTGATCCTAAAGGGTGCCTTATCATACGCATTGATGGATCCAAGAAAAAATTCAATACGGGCTAATACGTGTATATATATATATAATTTTTTTTTTTTAAAGACGCTTGAAAATCTATAAATAAATTCAACACCTTGAATTCAATATGATGAAAATATGTAATTCTCTTAAATCTAATTTAATTTATAAGCATAGCCTCGTTCACTTGAAATTTAGTAGGAATCACGTGTCCCTCCGAATGTAACAAAGTCGACCCCAATGTCGGTCCAAAGCTCATGTACATTGAAGGCTCTGCTTGGTCCATGATTCATGTTTAGAAACTAAATTTGTTTTGGGCCCATTGTAGTAAATTTGGCCCAACATTTATGACGCACTGACTACCCTGCTTGCTAGATGCAAAATCAAATTTTAAAGAAAATGAAAGCACACAAACTTCACAAGATACGATCCATTAATATGTATTTATTAAATATATTTTTTTTTCTTTCAAAATAACACTCTTCTTAACGACAATTCAAAATTTTCAATTAAAAGACGTTTTTATAGGTCAAATGTCTAAGTTAACTTCATCAAAAATAAATGTCTTTGTCTGTTTTCGCTACATTTTACCATAAAGTCACATTTAACTCGAATAGCTGAACTCAAGGATCGAATTTGCTGAATTATACTCAATCCAATAATTGAGTTGCACGTGTTGGTGACTAGCTTGAACTAATTAAGTTGAGTTGTCAAACTTTTACTTGAAAAATCGATGGATTCATTTCTAATAGTATTAACATCAAAATTTGTCAATCATCAAATTGTACAAGAGTCTTCGTATGTTGGAGACATAAAATTTGACCTGCAAAACAATACAAGTGTAAGGTGGAGTGTTTTGGTAGTCCATTGGTGTTCCTCCAATGTTCCTGTAAATCCATTTGAAAATGACAAAAATATAAAATGCACGGATACTAAACGTGTGTGCTGTATACATTTCATTTTTTTATTTTTTATTTTCAAATGACTTTACGTAGATCGAATGTCCTATCAATTTTGGTAAAAAGCACGGATTATTCATCAATCAAAACAGATTGTTAAGCCTTTTCTACCAATCACAAATTCAATGCCAATCAGGCCACGATTA